CCCATCCCCTCCTTCGACTCCTCAGACGTGGTCAGAGGGCACCGGGTCATCAGGTGCGACGATGGGTTCTCCCGAAGCTTCCTGGCGGAGTGTGTGGCTAAGATCAGCGACACATGGGCTGGCCTTAAGATTAGGCTAGTCCACGCCAGGGAGATACCAAGGAGACCCAGAGCTCGCATCTGGTTACCAAAGGGCCAAACTGACCATGCTAGGGTGATCGCCTGTCTGAAGGCTCAGAACCCAGACATAAATACGGAGGACTGGACCATCCTCAGAGCAGAGCAGGAGATGAAGGCGAGTCAGCCTTTCCTCCTGCTGATCAACCAGCGCTGTCTGCCCCAGCTGGAGGCAACGGACCACAAGGTCAGGTACGGCATCAGGAAGGCCAAGATTAAGGTCTTCTTGGCCGAGCCGGACGAGATTCTGGAGGACGTCGATGACAGCAACAAATTGTTGGACGACATGGTCATCGACGACAAATCTCCCGACGCCAACCCCACCAACATCGATGTCGAGAATCGTGCAGATTAACCTGAAGCGCAGCTCGCACGCTTCAGCTAATCTCACGATCCTTCCAAGGGAGAGGGATATCGACATCGGCCTGATACAGGAGCCTTGGACCAGGGACGGGCAAGTCGCTGGTTTGAGAATCCAAGGATACACACTACTGTGCACAAACTCGAATGGTAGGTCGAGAGCTTGCATTGTAATTAAGAATCACTTTAATGCTTTTCTCTGTCCCAATCTCAGCACACCTGACCTAGCAGTGGCCAGATTCGTAGCGGCGGATGGGAGCGGAGTCATCATAACATCGGCGTACATGGCCCATGACGAGCCGGCCCCGCCTGAGCCGGTAGTCAAGCTGCTGCAATGGGCGGAAGTGAAGAAGACGACCCTGGTGCTCGGGTGTGATGCGAACGCAAGACACACGCTCTGGGGGAGTTCGGAGACTAACGAAAGAGGTGAGTCACTCTTTGACAATATTATCTGTAGAAACGTAACAATTTGTAATAAGGTCGGCGTATTGCCCGACCTTCATCTTTCCGAGTACGGAAAATTTTCAAGGTTGGGAAGAGGTGTTAGACCTCACATTACATAAAGAGCAGAACAATTACAGGGTCGAGAACTGGAGGGTATCGACAGAACACTCCTTCTCAGACCATAGGTACATTTTCTTTGAATTAACGACACCTGTTACGAAACAGGTGCCAAGAAGGAACCCCCGTAGGACGGATTGGAACAATTTCAGCGAAATTGTCCGATCAAAAGTAACCGGCAGGAGGATCAAGACTATATCCACTGCAAAGGCACTCGACAAGGAGGTCGAGGGCCTAACTAAGATTCTGAACAACGCCTTCAAAGAGACTTGTAAGCTAACATTCTCGAAGAAGCAATACCCACCGTGGTGGACAAAGGAATTAAGCGAGCTCAGAAAGAGCGCGAGAAAGTCCTTTAACCACAGCTATGTAACCCGGGATTGGGAATCATACAAAGAGGCACAAAAAATTTATAAGAAGGCAGTATACAAGGCCAAGAAAGAGTCCTGGCAAAACTACTGCGAGTCACTGGAAGGCATAAAGGACACGGCGAGAGTAAGCAAAATCCTCGCCAAGGGGCACACAAGCCCTACCCTGATCAACAGAGCAGACGGCTCTGCTACGACGACAATCGAGGAGTCACTAGAGCTACTAGTTGACACCCACTTCCCAGGAAGCCTCAGAGTGAACTCGGAACCCGAGGATGGAACGAGCTCTCATATGGATACACCTACGAAAGACATCATTACCACTGAGCGAATCCAGTGGGCAATAGATTCTTTCGATAAGTGTAAAAGCCCGGACCCAGACGGCTTAATACCGGCAATGCTACAATCAGCTAAGGACAGTATTTGCAAATGGCTAAAAGCCATTTATGAAGCTTGTTTAAGACTGACGCACGTCCCACTGCTGTGGAGAGAGGCTAAAGTCATTTTCATACCGAAACCGGGCAGAAGGGGGCATATCCTTGCAAAGGATTATAGACCGATAAGTCTTACCTCCTTCGCCCTGAAGACACTAGAGAGACTCCTGGACGTCCACATCCGAGAATCTCTAGAAGGACATCGACTCTCGGATGCGCAGCATGCGTACCGCAGAGGAAAATCAACGGAAACAGCGCTACACGTAGTTGTTCATCATGTTGAGAAGACACTACAACACAAACAATACACGATGGCAGCCTTCCTAGACATCGAAGGCGCGTTCAATAACGTGAACCCCGACTCTATCCTGGACTCCCTCAACTTGCTAGGTATTGAGAGAGGCATCAGAGAGTGGATCGGAGTCATGCTAAAGAGCAGGACGATCACAGCCGAACTGAGTGGCACTCACCTCACGCGGACTGTGAAGAGAGGCACACCTCAGGGCGGGGTACTATCGCCCCTACTCTGGCTCACAAATATGAACGCCATATTGACAGATCTCAATACGGGTGGAGTCAAAGCAGTTGCATACGCGGACGACGTAGTACTGCTAGTTTCAGGACCATACCCTGACGTTATTAGCGAAATAATGACGGGTGCGCTAGGTCGATTAAACAAATGGGCGAGAACCTGCGGACTAGGTATCAACCCCACTAAAACGGAACTTATGCTCTTCACGCGAAGAACTAAGATACCACCCTTCAACATGCCCAGTATCAACGGCATGGAGCTAAAACTATCGAAGCGAGCGAAGTATCTAGGAGTTATTCTGGATAAAAAGCTCTTATGGAAAGATAACATTGCAGAAAGAGTAAGGAAAGCAAGCATCGCATTCTACTCCTGCAGGAAAATGTTTGGGAACAAATGGGGACTGCACCCAAAGATAATTTTATGGCTCTACACTGCAGTGGTACGACCAATTCCTACATACGGAGCCCTAGTATGGTGGCCGGCACTAACTAGGGCTTACAACAGAACGAAGCTGACACGGATGCAACGGGCAGCGAGTGCGGGGGCAGTGGGTGCAATGCGCTCATGCCCTGCGGCTGCCCTCAACGCCATCCTGGATTTAATGCCGATAGAGCTGTTTGTGAAGGACACTGCGGCACAGAGCGCAGTAAGACTGAAGGCGAGCAATTGCTGGAGGGACTACGGCGCCGGGCACGGTAAGATCCTTGGAAACAGTAGCATTAATACAGACGTTAAGACCGACTACATGATCGCGGAAATGAAATTCGGGAATGCATTCTCGACATCATACCCATCAACGGAAGACTGGAGTAGGGGCAGAGTAGTAGTGGAGAACGAGGTGTCCCTCTACACCGATGGCTCAAAAATGAGCTGCGGCGTAGGGGCTGGGATCTTCGCTGAAAATTTGAGAATTGAACAGGCTTTCAATCTCTCTAACTCAGCGACGGTCTTTCAGGCTGAGTTACTAGCCATAAGGGAAGCAGTCGAACTTTCCTTAAGGCAGGACCTCAGGGGCAAAAGAGTTCGAATCTACTCGGATAGCCAAGCGGCTATAAAATCCCTATCTGCCGTGAAAACGAACTAACGAATTGTGGCAGAATGCAAGAAGGCCCTTAATAGACTTGCCGACAAAAATATGGTACAAGTAACTTGGGTACCGGGACACAACGAGATCCCAGGTAATGAGAAGGCAGACGAACTAGCCCGTGCAGGCTCGGCAGGGCTAAGTTCTGACTTCGAATTACCGATCTCCCTAAACGCGATCCAGACAAAGATCCATGACCACTTTAGGCAGATAGCTAATAAAGAATGGCAAGGCAAGAGTGATCACAGAAGGTCAAGGGAATGCTGGCCGAGGTACGACGAAAAACGAACCAGGGAACTGCTATCCAACAGCAAACGGGATATCAGCAGGTTCACGGCACTCACCACGGGACATTGGGCGATCGGTTCGCACGCAATGAAGCTGGGACTGCCATACAACGCAATCTGTAGAAGCTGTAAGCAACCTACAGAGCAAGAGACACCGGAACATCTGCTCTGCTTCTGCCCAGCGCTAAACTATATCAGATTTCGCCACTTCGGTGCCTACCAGATGGAGTCACTGAGAAACATAGGAAAGCTGAAAGTTTCGGCAATCCTAGGTTTCCTGGCTGACTCTGGATGGTACTGATAGTGTATAACAACAACAAACAGAGGGAGTGGAACAAGAAGGAGCTTAGCTCTAATTGGAGGCCCCAGATATGGGCCTCACCACTGCAACCTACCTACTTACCTTAAGCAAAAAGTATGTAAATTAATATATATATTGTTTGCAAATTTATAAATCTTTAATAATTACTAAAGAGAAGAAAAAATAGGTTAATTCAGATATATTGCCTAGAACAGATATATTGATTAATAAAGTATTATCACTAAGCAAGAAATACATAGAGAAGTCAAACAGTACAAAAAAGTACTATCACAAAAATGGCTAACCTGGAACCCCAGAGCACCCGAACGATATGTCTAGAACCCCAGAGTGCGTTCGGCTTTTTCGAGTTCTAACTTAAATAATTTGTCCGCCAATGCAAGCGCTAGCCGCTAAGTATTGCTGTGGCCGTCCAAAATCTTTGAAAAAGACTGCATGCAGAAATTTGAACACGCATGCAAACGTGCGAGCGCTTGTACACATATACACATATACACAGAAACGAAAGCACAGCGCAAAGAAACGCACACCTGCTCATCGTTCCACGGTCGATCTGCCACTGAAAAGTGAAGTCTGTTGTGCTCGGTTTCGAACGAATGCTTCGAACTCGAAAAAGCCAAACGCACTCTGGGGTTCTAGACATATCGTTCGGGTGCTCTGCCGTTTTTGTGATAGTAGTTTTTGTACTGTTTGACTTCTCTATGTATTTCTTGCTTAGTGGTATTATTTAATGAAATACAAAATTTTAATTATATTTTCATAAAAAATACTTTGCCAATATACCATGCTATTAGAGGAAAAAATTAACCTTTAACAGAAAATAAAAAAAAATGTATTTTAGTCAATTTTAAACATAAATTATTTTTTTTATGTACATACTTTAGCTTCTTCTAAACGTCCAAGGGCCTTAAGAAGATTTCCAAGATCGCTGCGTACGCAATATAAATCCTACACAAAGAAAAGTTAAGATATGAAAATCGGTTAATAAACCAAGAAAAATTAAAAACGAAGAAGTAAAAGCTAAAGTCGAGCGCTCGGTCCCTAATGATTTGTACATTAACTAAAGCTGATATAAAATAAAAAAAATAGAATGCAGCAATCACACATTAACGTTCTCACGAAGCGAATCAAAAAAATATTTGTATTTTTTTATATTAGGCAATAATAGGCTCGTTAGGCAATAAATTGACGAGAACCGATTAGAATTACTGAATCTGTGAATAACCTTTCTATGTTCTTAGATTGTATATGGGCATTTCCAACGTCGCGCAAAGCACATTCGTACGCATTCAAAGTAAAGAAGAAAAGAAAGCTAACTTCGGCGAGCCGAAGTTTTTGCGGAACGCAATATATATATGTATAAGTTAAAGATTATTAGCTATTTTTTATTAAAAAATAATCTTTATTATTTTGAGTTGGATTAAGAACTAAATTTGCTTAAGCTTAACAATCGTTTATATAGGCTGCTTGCTGCTCCATCGCTGTCACCGTCTCTGCCGCCGTCATTACTTCCGCTGATGTTCTTTGTTTTTCCGCTGACGTTCTTTGTTCTCATTAGCCGGTTATGACGATTTGTAACTATTGGCCGCTTCCAATTACCATTGGTCAATGCATTGATTTCCACATTGGCAGATGCCCTAGATATGGTAAGCCACGTGCGCTGAGCTTGCATCTTTTGGGTAGCGATCGTGGGAATACAAATCCGGAAGTTTGAGTTGGTAGTAAATTGAACTTCTGGTTTCTTCACCCGGTTGCGCCATATGTACTGAGCATGCATCTTCTTTGTCAACGATTTAAGAAACTAGGTTGTTAACTTATATACATATATATAATATATCTTAAATTTGATGAAAAAATTTTGAAAATTGAACTTTTTTTGTCAACATTTTCAGATTGTTCCTATGGCAGCTATAAAATATCGTTTGTTGATTTTGAAAATTGAACTTTTTTTTGTCAACATTTTCAGATTGTTCCTATGGCAGCTATAAGATATCGTTTTTTGATCTGGGCCGTTCCGACACATAAAAGAGTATATAGAAAACTAACTGCAAAGTTTCAATTAGATAGCTTCAAAACAGAAAAGACTAGTTTGCGAAGAAACGGAAAGACGGACAAAAGGACAGAAGGATGGTCGGACATGGCTAGATTGACTCGGCTGTTAATGCTGATCAAGAATATATATACATTATTGGTGACTCCTTCACTGCGTTGCAAACTTCTGACTGAAAGTAAAATACCCTGCAAGGGTATATAATATAATATAATATTCTTTTGTCACAGTGTCAGTTCCCATACTTCTCCGAAACGGCTTGACGGACTTTAAAAATTTTTATACCATTGCAGGGTATTATAATTTTAATCAGATATTTTGCAATGCACTGAAGGAGGCACCTCCGACCATATAAAATATATATATTCTTGATCAGCATTAGCAGCCGAGTCGATATAGCCATGTCCGTCTGTCCATCTGGTGGTCCGTCCGTCTGTCCGTTTTTACAATAACTAGTTTCTCAGTTTTAAATGTATCTGAATGAAACTTTACAGTTAGTCTTCTGTATACTCTCTCTCTGTATACATATATGTCAGAACGTGGCTTTGCCTCTTCTGTCAAGATCAAACGTCAACTTCTCCAAACTCCAAACAGAAAACATAAAAGTAAAAACCAACAAAAACTACCAACAACTACAAGTGCAAGTGCAAGTGCAAGTACAAGTGCAAGAGAACTGAAAAAACTACCAACGGTACAAGTCAGAGTCGTAGAGATGGTCTTCCCTACCAATCCCCATAAACTTCTCCCTATACTGCAGTGACAGCACCAACGCTTTCGGAGGAGCAGCACTATTGGTGCATAACTCCATCTCACACTCCAATAAAACCCTCAGCCCAGACTTTGAAGCCACTTGCGTCACAATTAATTCAACATCAAAAACTTAGAAAATGTTGTAACCCCTACATCCCCCTCTACTATCGTACTAGGGGTTTTTAACAGCTGGCATCCATATTGGGGCTCCCCTAGATCCAACTCCAGAGGCAACACAATAGCTAAATTCCTTGACAGATCCGACTACACATTACTAAATGACAAATCTCCAACCTACTATTCGACACACAACACATTTACGCACATTGACCTCTCTCTCGCCACAGCCAATATCTCCCCAGAGATCTACTGGAGAGTCCTCAATGATCTACACGGAAGTGACCACTTCCCTATTCTAATCTCAATATTCCCTTCACTTTGATCCCCGACGCTCACATCCAAACCCTACTTCAATCTTAAAAATGCCTATTAGGACCTTTTTAGATCGCATATTTCCAAACACTCCACTCATACCCAACCCAGTAGCAACTCAAACAAAGAAGCAGCTACACTTTAAAAAAATCCTAATCTAATCTGCCCACCTATCCACACCTTAGAACACCACCTTCTCCCTCCCCCACATTGTTCCCTGGTGAGACAAAAACCTTGCACTCCTGAAAAAAATAGAAACCCCAAATGGCGAACTTTAAAAAACAACATCAGCATTGAAAACATAATTGAATATAAAAAAGCTAATGCCATTTTCAGAAAATCCATTAGGGAAGCCAAAAAATTCTCTATCTCAAAATTCACCTCTGAAATCAATCCCATATTCCGACCCAATTAAAATGTGGGCAAACATCAAACGTCTTTGTGGAATGTACCCTTCGAAACACATACATAGCATCCACAACCCCACCTCCCAAAAAACTACTGTAGATCCAACCGAAATAGGCAACACACTCGGAGACCTATGGTCAAAAGAGGCAAAAGACTCCAACTTACCTACCGAATTCCGCACCAACAAAATTGTCCTTAGACCACCCTGTCCCTACCCCTTATCCCCAACAGCCCTTGAAATTGAAAAAAACATTACACTTATTGAACTTAACGCAGCCATAATCTCTCTAAAAGGACACACACCTGGCCTAGACCGCATCTCTTATCCTATGATTAAAAATGCACCCATCTCCTATAAGCTTCGAATCCTCCACCACTTCAACTACATCCTAGACTCTCACATCCCCCAATCCTATAAAATCAGCCTCGTACTGCCAATCCTCAAGCCCAATAAGCCCCAAACCAACCACAACTCCTACCGCCCCATCTCACTCAACCCTTGCATGGCCAAAGTTCTCGACAAAATCCTAGCGAAAAGGTTATGATGGTTTGTTTTAGCAAACAAACTCATACATAACAACCAATTCAGCTTCAAGAGGGGCAAATCTGTTCTAGATAGTCTACTTTAAGTAGATCATCTTGCAACCAGATCCTTGTCTCTAAAAAAACACATTACTATACTTTCTCTCGACTTCGCTAAAGCTTTCGATAAAATTGGCATCTACACCCTCATCCGTCACTTGGAGGAATGGATATTAGGCCCCCGCATAATAAAATACGTTCACAACTTCATGTCTAACCGGAAAATGATAATAAAAAACGGCACATCCCTCTCCCATAGCTTCCCTCTCGATAACGGCATCCCTCAAGGTTCCCCTATCTCAGTCATCCTATTCCTAATTTCCTACAATTCCCTTACCAATATTATCTCCCTTTCACAACAAGTCAAGTTCACTGCCTACGCCGACGACTTTCATCTTATCATCCAACACAACCGGAACAGAAACCCCCAAAACAATCTTACAACCCTATTCCAGCAAATCTGCGAATGGTGTTCCTCCTCTGGATCATCCCTCTCTCTTGAGAAATGTCAAGTCCTACACATATCCCGTAAAAGAAACTGCACAGCAAAAATAGTCACTGGCTTAATCAACATTCCTACCAATGACTCTACAAAAATCCTTGGCTTGACAATCAACAACCGGTACAAGTGGCATTCTCACATAATCAACCTAAAAACATACCTCTCCCGTCTCCTTAACATCATTAAACACCTCTCCTCAAGAAAATACAATTGCAACACCGCCTCCCTCATCCAAATCACAAACTCCCTCCTCATCTCCAAAATAGACTACTGCCTACCCATCTACGGGAAAGCTCCAACCTCCATCCTTAACCGACTCAAATCCTCACAAAACGCAGCGCTTGGTGGCTTCAGAACAACACCAACAAATAATCTGCTCACTGAATCAAAAATAAGCCCTATTCTAATCAGACAAAAATACCACACTGGCAAACTAGCAACTAAACTGATCCACTCGAATGACTCCCCAATTGGCAAATTCCTCAAACCAACAAAAAAAAATACAGGTACCCCAGCACAATTGATACAATAATTGACTCCTGCAAAACCCTATCCCTCCATCTCTCCCCTGCTAAAAACTACCCATCCAAAAAGTACAACCCAGAAATAATCATAAAAGCCACAAACACATCCCTATCCCACTACAAAAAAAAACACCACACCCCCTATAACCTTCCACCAACTTTTCCACTCTATAAAAAACTCCCTCCCCAACCATCAATTTCTCTACACTGACAGCTCAAAGACTAACGACATTGTTAGCTTTAGCATAACAAATGACCACAACACCATTAAAATCGGACTCCTACCCCAATACTCCTCTGTCCTCACAAGCGAAGCTATAGCCATACTCGAAGCGGTCCAAATCTGCAGCAAAAACTCTGGGAAATTCGCTATATGCTCTGATTCCCTATCCGCCTTAAGAGCCATAACCAACTCCAACAACCACTCCTACTACCCCACCACAATCCGAAACATAATCACCAAACTCTTCCCTAAAATTATACTTATCTGGATCCCAAGCCACACAGGTATAAAAGGGAACGAGAGAGCGGACAGAACAGCCAACGAAGCTTACAATTATCCACTCATTCTTACCAAAAACCTCAACTCCAAAGATATCACGCAACACCTCAAAAAATACTACAATCACATACAAAAAGATCTGCAAAACCAATGCAACCAATGGCACAAACATATTGCACTCAACACCCCTTCAAACTA